GGGAGTTTGGATGTGTCTATGGAGCTTCCATGACCTTTCCTTGTTATATGTCAATTCTTAACTATACCAAGTAGTGACAGTAAATATACTCTTGTTTACATTAAAGAGTTGGCAATGATTTGAATGGTTGAGTGATTCATCCTATTCTGTCTTACTTTATACAGACTATTTAAATCGGAGGTCAGCAGAATCCAAAAAAACCAAGAAACCAGATTCTTGCCATTGAATCAATTCCTGCTCCTAGTGATGCTGTAGGACAGAGTAGAGCTGCCCCATAGGATTTCCAAGGCTGTTATCTTTATGGAAGCAAGACTGCCACATCTTTCTCCTGTGGAGTGGCTAGTGGGTTTGAACTGCCAACCTTTAGGTTAGCAGCTGAGCACTTTAACCACTGTGCCACCAGGGCTCCTTAGCAGAATCCAGTGTGATACAATTAGGCTGAGTGACAAGAAATCTGAAAGCACTCGTTCCTCATGCACGTAAGATATTATATTGTTGTTGTGATCCATAAGATTAAAAAGTTTTATTTATTTATTTATTTGTTGTTGTTGAGAATGTGCACAGCAAAACACACACCAGTTAAACTGTTTCTACAGTGACATTGATTACATTCTTCGAGTTGTGCAACCACTCTCACTCTCCTTTTCTGAGTTGTTCCTCCCCACTAACATAAACTCATTGCCCTCTGAAGTTCCTATCTAATCTATTTAGTTACTGTTGTCAATTTGATTCCGTATAGATAGTTCTTAAAAGAGCATAAAGCTCAAGGCAGACATTCTTTACTAGTTAAGCTAAATTATTGTTTGGTTTTAAGAAGACTTCAGAGGCTATTTTTTGGTTTAAGTTTTAAAGATGATCTCAGGGCAATAGTTTTTGGTGTTCCTCCAGCCTCCATGGCTCCAAAAATCTGGATTCCATGAAAATTTGAAATTCTTTTCTGCATTTTCCCCCTGTTGATCAGGATTCTTCTATAGAATCTTTGATCAAAATGTTCAGTAATGGTAGCTGAGCACCATCCAGTTCTTCTAGTCTCATGGGAGAGAAGGCAGTTGTTCATGGCTGCAATTAGCCACACATTCCATTTCCTCCTCCTAGTCCTGACTCTCCTTTTTTCTTTGCTGCTCCAGGTGAATAGAGACCAATTGTTGTGCCAGAAGATAATAATACCAAAGGTTAAAATCTGTTGAGTGCTTCAGGCTTGCTGGGCACTGTGCTAAGCACTTTTGTGTGCATCAGCTCATCACATGGCATGCAAGCGGCCACACCATGAGTTTCATCTTATATGATGAAACTGAGGCTTGGCACATTGACACTAAGAGTCCAAGGCCATACAGCAGGTGAGTGGCAGCACTAGGAGTCTTGAGCAGGTGTGTCTAACTCCAAAGCTCTGCTCAAAACCACCATACCCCACTTCCTCCCAGAGCAGCCCGACTGTATGGCCTTGCCACATCCGATCTTATGTGGCCCTGTAGACCTCACACCTAGCAGTCAAGTGGCCTGTATTTTAAAAATTATTTTTAGATAAAACATTCTGAGTCTGAACTTAGTCTCTCTCTTTCATTTTTCTTTCTGGCAATGAGAACAGGATCTGTCTAAGTTACAGACACTATCATTTGCAAAGGCCCCTATCTGCTGTGGATTGAATTGTGCCCCCCTAAAAGATATGCTGAAGTCCTAAACCCTAATACCTGTGAATGTGACCTTGTTTGGTAGGGACATTTTTCCAGAGGCTGTGTCTCCTGATAAAGCAGAGAAACATAATCACTGAGCAAGATCTGAAGCAATTTTTCACAAGATAAAATAAACCACAGAAATTATTTTTGATGTATATTCATAAAGAGTACTTGAATAAGTCTAAAGACTACATTAAATTTTCAGTAGACTCTAAAATATATCCTAACATGGGACTTAATATTTAATGGAAGATAGAGAACCATCATGAGGGAGTAAGAGGAGGGACAGGTGGGATGTATTCTGGAGTCAGAAAGTCTGGGTTCTGTGTCTTTCAGCCTCAGTTTCCCTTTCTTAAAACACCGGTAGTAATTACTGGGTTACTCTAAGAATTAGTACAATAATGATTGTGGAAGTGCTTTGTATCTGTAAACTATCATTCAAATTGTGGTGTTACTATGTTTTTGATAGATTCTTTTGCTGATAAATAGGCTGAATAGTCTAGATAAGATTAGAATATTCTAGAACTTGTCAATAGTATGCCACATGATGTGAAACCCATACAGAAGCAGGTTCCAATTGAAGCAGTGTTAAATGGAGTAAGGTGAGTAAAATACCACATGATGATAATAATAATAGCAACAAACTACATTTGAATGTCTACAAGTCCCAGCCCTGTGCTAGGCTCTTTACATACATCATAACATCCTCTTAACGTGCTCCCAAGGTAGATATGATTCTCTTACTGTTGATAAGGAAACTGAGACTTAGGCAGATAAATGCAGATATTTCCCTTTTACAGGTATTTTTCACAATGTCCCAGTTTTACCATGTAATTTTGGTATAATTAAACTTCACTAGCTAAAAATGAGATGATCAATTATATTTAGTGTCTTTACACTTACTAATTTAGCCAAGATGGTGAGAACGATCCCTATTACACACTGTAGGGCTGTGCTGATGATTAGCGCTTGGCAGCCTTCCTGTGTGAGCTTCCTTTTATTTTTCTTTCTGGAAAAAAATCTCAGGTGGTTCATATCTCACTGGATTGGCTGGTCTCTGCATGCTGCTCTCGACCTCTGTTTCTGTTTTCCACCTCTCTGTCCTCCTCCGTGCCTTGTGAGGCTAACCCTGTGAACTACATCACCCAGAATCTCCTCCTAGTTGGCTTCCACTTGGGTTTAAACAATGGGAGACTCGGGTTTAAGCAATGGGAGACTCCGGCAGGAAATCAGAGGGTAGAAGTTGGGGTTTCCCCCCCGCCTTACTCTTTTCCTGTTTTGGTGCAGTTTATCTGGCAGTAGCTGTGAGACCCTTCAAGGTTGTAGCTCCTGCTAGGTACCTTCTCCTCCAGACTCCAGCTTTTACTGGGCTCCAGGACAAGATTTCCTTGCCTTGCCCGTCAGTCCTAAGAGAGGTATTGGCCTTCTGCTAGTCTTTGGAAGCTGCAACCCCTTATATATGTTCCCTTAACCCAGACCTCTGCTAGTAGTACCTTCATGCAATCTCTTCATTTGACCCATCCGGAATAAATTAGGCATTCTGTGGTACTTTGACTGATACACTCACTAAATATCAAAAGTCATCCTATCCATTCTGGCACTTAGTGATTACTCAAGTCCCCACTGTAGGGAACAGAGCCTGAGTAACTCTTCTGTCTGAACCTCAATAACCCAGGAAATATCACTCTTGACATCTATTTGCTTGGAAGAGAGAGGGGGAAGTATGTTCAAATTCCAATCTGAATAAGCAAAAGAATAGTTAGCAATGTTCAAGAATTGCTGGTCTTCCAGTGAGACATTTATACTTAAGAGGAGCCTTGGTGGCATCTATGGGGCAGTTCTGCTCTGTCCTATAGGGTCGCTATGAATTGGAATCGACTCCACGGCAACGGGTTTGGTTTTTTTTGATTGATGGTGCAGTGGTTAAAGCTATTGACTGCTAACGGAAAGGTCGGCGGTTTGAAACCACCAGTGGATCTCCAGGAGAAAGATGTGGCAGTCTGTTTCCGTAGAGATTTATGGCCTTGGAAACCCTATGGGATCGCTATGAGTCAAATAGACTCAACAGCAGTGGATTTGGTTTGGTTTACTATCTATAATATATATATCTATAATATATAAAGAACTACTATGAATAAACAAGACAAACAGCCCTATTTAAAAACAGACATTTCTCAGAAGAGAAAATATGCATGACCAATAAACAAGAACAGGTGTTCAATCTCATTAGTACTCAGGAAAAAGCAAAATAAAACAAAACAAAACAAAAACCTTACAATGAGATATTCTTTTTTAGCTACCATGTTGGCAAAAAAGGAAAAAGTATGACAATATCAAGTGTTGACAAGGACATGAAACAATAGAAACTCTTATATGCTGCTTATGGGAGTGTAAATTGGTATAACTTGTAGGCATTACTTAGTAGTACTGAATATCCATACACCTTGACCCAGAAATTCCATGCACCAGAGGCTTCCTGCAGACATTATGAGAATGTTCTTAGTAGCATTGTAGGTAATAGAAAAAAGTAGAAAGAAACCAATGTCATCAACACAGATTGGCTAAATAAATTTTGGTGTATTGACACATGGACACTATGTGGTGATGAAAAGGAATGAACTGTAGCTACACTTATCAAGACAGATACGTGGTGCAATGGCTAAATTCTTGGCTGCTAACCGAAAGGTTGATGGTTCAAACCCACCCAACT